ACACAAAGTAGGCGGGCAGGCGGTTGTTCGTGTTATCCCTAAAGGGGCGAGTGTCTGTTGTCCAAACGGATTTCAAATTTGAGCACGTTATTGCGAAATCCATGTTTCCAAATCTGATTAGTGCATTTGAATTTTTATTTGTTCTTAAATGTCTGTCTGGTACGTTTTTGTTTAAAAAAATCACATTAACTTCATTTTGTCTCAACTTGTATACTTTCATTCCATCTGTCTATGAGATCTCCAAGACAAGGAAATCAGAGGAAAGCAAGTAAATTTTTTGTTTAGGAGCCTCAATGACAACAGCTTACAATTTCCCCGATTTGAATATCTCTCCTATCAACATAGATGACGAAGATGAAGCAGATGACAGTTTGCACACTCTTCCTGTGAGTCTTTCAACCTACATCTACACCAAGTGTAAGGTTTGCAGATAGAAGTATATACCGTTTTCAGGTCCAAATTGGTTTGGAAGAGTCTCTGAAGGGGCTATCAATCTCTAAAGGAACTTCATCTGGAAATCCATCGGTTGTTCCAGATTCAGATCCAATCAGACTAGAAGCTTCTTCGGGTGGGTTTCGCTGAGGAATTGCTTTGAACTGGTTGTTATACTTTACTTGAAGTGAAGGTTGGATAAGTGTGGACAAGACGGAAGAAATGTGGAAACAAAAAAGTGTTTGCTGATGTAGGCCTTAGGTCACCTATAGGTCACTGCCGGACACCCAAATCCCGCAATATAACAGCGAGTTTTTTTTACTCAAAACATCTCAAAGGTTCGCTGTGTATCTCTAGGATGCGACCATACTACGCCGCTTGTCGGCATTCTCCCCCAACTTCTACTCTGAAGAGCTGGTTGTGAGCTCGGCCCTAGACAATTTTTACTCTCTATCTCTCTCGGAGCTATAAATTCGTTGAAAAAATTTGAGAGGAAGGTTCTCAGAAATATCTAGCGTTGTGTAAGAATTTCTTTTGATTGCGTTGTCTCACGCATAGACGTGCAGCGCGTTAAGCGCTTTGCGGCCTGGCTCGCAAGTTTTTTTTTGCTTTCATTTCCTTTCCTATGTTTCTGTTTTGGCCATAAGGAAAGAATTCTCTCTTCATTGTACTTGGGCAAAAAGTGTCGCAAAATATGACCGTGAAGTAGGAAATCATCACAAGTTTTTTTTTTACTTTTATGTTATTGACAGTCTCAAGAATGGTACATATCCACCTAACTCACACGCGATTCAAACAAGGCAATCTCTTTTCACAGAATCAAGAATTCGAATTTTTTCGGCTATTTATCAATTAAAGGGGGCTGAGAGTGACAAAGAGATAATCCAGCGCAGTCTTTTTT